AGCAACATTATCAAGCCACATAGAAATGTGCACATACATTTTATATCCTTACTTTTTCTATCATTCAATCCAACCTTTATTAATATGACCCATTTCACTATATAGTAAAAAGTATAATCTTGATTAATTCCAGCCAAACCCAGTCACACAATTCAGGATCTTCCCTGGTATAGGGGATAACGACCAGTCCCTGGTCTATATCATGACCAGAGCACGTAAAGAAGCAACCAATGAATGCATAAATAAATAGAAAAACAAGTCGATGTTTCTTTCTTGCTCTAAAACCAATAAAATAAAATATTTTTTTAAAAAAGAAGGCCCTGTGAACACATAGGGGAACATACAATCACAGAGAAGGCCTTATGACAACAGAGGCAAAGATTGGAATGATGCTGATACAAGTCAAAGGATACCAAGGGCTGCCAGCAACCATCAGAATCTAGAAAGAGGCAGGAAGGATTCCTCCCTAGAACCTTCAGAGCATGGCCCCACTGACACCTTGACTTTGGACTTCTAGCCTCCAGAATTGAGAAAATGAATTTCTACTGTTTTAAGCCACTTGGTTTCTGGTATTCTGTTTTGTCCCAGAAAATAAATATGCCAGGTAGTCCTCAGGTATGACCTTTCCCCCCTTTATGCACTCAGTTAAATATCTGCTATCCATTAGTTTCCGTTGTCAGTTCACACTCTCTGTTCCTTTTCACTCCAACTACTGGCCCTTCTCAGATACTCCCTGAACCTATACCTACACCCAGCAAGCCTCAGGCCTTCTCTTGGCAGCCCTCAACCTCCATCTGCACTGACTGCTGGTATACTAGGGCACTGCTTCTCTAGGGCCTTGCACTAAACTTGTCATGAGAGGTGGGGATCTATCAATACTATCCCTTTGGAGAAGCCTTTAAAGGGAGGTGAGGGCAAGCTCAGGCTCCTTCTCAAGAGGGATAATGCTCTCTTACTTCCCTCTTGACTTTCTCCTCTTTCCTCTACTTGAAAAATTTTTTAGTCTACATATTATTCCAAATATTCCCTGTCTTGCATGTGTAGCTGGGCTTAAAAGAGAAGAATTTGATTATTTGTTCTCTGGTCCTATCATTACAACTTTCAGAAGACAACGGTTGCCCCATGTTAGCTCCCTAAGTTGAGAAAGAACAAGGGTTATAAAGGAGGAAAACACAAACAGAAATTACTTCCCAGTATTTACCACTATATAAATCAGAATTATAAAAATTGTAAACTATAAACATTTTTAATATTGCTAATTTCTAATTCGTCATCTTGCATTAGTTATATAGTTTTCCCATTGTGTAGTTACACTACAATTCAATTGGTCATTCTTGTTTAATTTCCATTGTTGCACCATGAAACAGCATAAACACCTTCATATATACATCTTTCTTACTTGAAATTATTTTATTAGAATAAAATCTTAAAAGGGAAGTTACTAAGCCAATTAGCATAAACGTCTCCATCTTTCTTGGTAGGTATTGCAAAACTGCTTTCCAAAATGATTCCATGGATTCATTTTGCCCTTATCTACATTTAGCACGTGTGCCAAGTTCACTAAAATTTTTTTGGCCGTGGCCATTATCATTGGTAAGTATATTTTAAGCATCTACTTTATGACACACATTTGTGCTAGATGCTACAGGATACCAAAAGGAGGCAATCTGTGTTCTAGGAAGATTTATAATTTAGTTGAGGAAACAGGTCATAAGTATATAACAGACACAATCACAGCCGTTGACTACAGGAGATGGGGGGCTAGGGTTTGTTTTTCCACGTCCCCCAATTTTTAATCCCTTTTGGGGGGTATAGTACAAACAAAGCTGCAATAATAAAAAGCATTTTGCCTTCATTTTTTCATATTTAAGTTTTTAAATGGGTAATACTATTATATGATTCAAAAATTTTGAAGTATAAAAGGCTATAGAGTAAAAAATGTTTTCTCATCCTGGTCCTCCAATCACCCAGTTTCCTTTTCCACAAGAAACTTACGTTGTTGGTTTCTTGCATATATGCTTTCCTATAATATTTTATGATATATAGACATGTACTTGTGTATATGTCTATATATCTATATAAAGATGTATGTATTATTCTTCTCACTAGTTAGCATTTTTATGCAAATAGTAGTATACTTACCCACTGTCTGCCCCTGGCAACCATGTGGGCAGCCCAGGGAGCCAGAGCTTATCAGGTAGGTCAAACTGAATGGGGTTAAAAGCCGTCCTTCATCCCCACAGACAGCTGAGCCTGCGGTGGGGTTGGGCTGGGGGGGAAGGTGGGCATCTCTGCACATGCTTCTGAAGAGTGATGTGACAGGCTGTGGACGACTGGCTGCACTCTCACCCTCCTGGCATAGTTAGAGGATGACAAGATGCTGAGCTGGGTGCCCACCATTCTGCAGGAAATGCCTGAGCTGACCCAGCCAGTCTCCTTTTCCACTCTTACCTTTGTGCTGTCTAGATAGAGAAATCTCATTTAGGTTAAGGGTATCTGACTGGGTGATTCTGGGTGAGGCACAAAACAGCCAAATTCTACAGCTCATTTTCTAAAACTTCTCCCAGGAATGAAAAAATCTTGTAAAAAGGTGAACGAGAATATGCATGATCATTTGCCAAATGTAGAAAAGTAGTGTGAAGCACTGAGCTAGTGCTTCCTCCAAAGCAAACACTCAGCAAATGCTTCCTTGTGGCCCAGAACGGAGAGATGGCCCAGGGCCAAATGGGACTGGGAAAGCAGAACACAATGTAAAACACAAGGCAGGACTGCAAGGTAGGGCACAAAGACAGTGCTTAATTTGCATTTTCATTTCACTAATATTATCGTAAAACCCCACCTACTTCAGCTTGGCAGTTCCTCTTGGTTCTGCTTTTTTATCCCCTCTGCCATCTTTTAGTTTTATGGTTTACCTGGGTGCTACTCTTTTCCCTTTCCATTTCATTTTTTTTTCCTGTCTTGATTTTCCCTGAGGAGAGGGTGAACAATAGTTAGCCTCTTTGCAGAAAAATTCAGAAATCTCTGGTAAGAACATTGGAGGGGATTGAATCTAACTCTATAATTTGATAGATATGGAAACTCAGTCCTGGAGAAATCGCCCAGTAAGTTAGTGGTGACTGAAGCAGGCTGGATAGGCCCCTTGAGGCAAAATGTCAAGATTCAATCTCCAGCCCTGCGAGATAGTTTAGTAGATTAGAGCATCATCCCCACATGCCAAGGTTGCAGGTTTGATGCCTGGTCAGGGCACACGTAAGAATTGACTGATGAATAATAAATAAGTAGAATAACAAATGGATGCTTTTTTTTTCTCTCTCCCTACAATCAATACATTTTTTAAAAACTTAAAAAAGATTCAATCTCTTTGTTTATCAATAGCTTTCACCTCAGATAGAGGTCAGTTGACAAGTCTCAGATTCAATAATGCTGGGTTAAAATTATTTCATTTTTTAAAACACACCCACCAGAATGGCTACAATTAAAAAGAATGAAAATACCAGGACTTTCAAACATTGCTTGTGAGAGTGTAAATTGATCAAAAACACTTTGCAAATCTGCTTAGCAATGCTTACTAAAGCTCAACATACATTTACCCTATGATGTAGCAATTCCACTCCTGGGTATTTACCCAAGAAAAGTAAGTACATATATCCAACCAAAAGACAGGTACATAAATGTTAATTGTAGCTTAATTTATAATAGTTAAAAAACTGGAAAAATTCAAATGTCCATCATAAGGAGAACTGCCCTACCTCTGCTTCTTCCTCTTATCAAATTCTTCCTCACATGTCATTGTCTAGCTCTCAAGGATTTGCTCTCAGAAGGCCACCCATGGTTTCTACAACCCTCATTTTCTACCTTCCTGCCTCCTTGGGAACTTAGCACATCTCCCATATTAAAACCTTCTGTATGTTATACAATCCACCCCCTGAGCTAAATGTTTCTTGAGAGCTGATACTATTTCTCTTTCATTTTTGTATCCCTGTGCTCAGCATTTTGGTAATATATAAATGAGCACTAACAGAACTGAAGTATAAATTCCATTTTTTCCCAGACTTCCAGTTTTCACAGTAATGTTATTTTCTCACAATGGCAGGCTTGAAGATGAAAGTGGATTAGTGTTTTCTCTAGTATGTGTTTCTCTTATTTTAAGAGAGGCAAATCTGCTCTATTCAATAGAATATGTGGACATTTAAACTCATTGGAAGTATATAAAATTAAATATTCAGTTTCTCATTCTCACTAGTCACATTTCAAGCACACAAATGCATCGTGTGGCTAGTGGCTACCGTATTGGGCAGCTTAGAATGGAATATTTCCATTAGTACTTTAAATCTCTAACCTTTACACTTTACTGCCCCCTCTGAGAACTCTTCCATCCTCTTCCCACACTGCTTCCCTTATAGCCATCATCATCCTTATTGTCTGTAATCACCTGCGTCTTTGTTGTTTTAAACTTCATAAATGCAACAAATACTTATTGAGAACCTACTATGAAGTTTGCCAGATATAATATAGGATGCCCAGATAAATTTGAATTTTCTTTATCGTTGACACTATTACAGACGTCCCCCACTCGCGTCTTTGAAAAGACTGAGGGTTCCAGTTGTCAGGAACAGTTTCTTAGGGTTCTATCAATTGCTCCAGGGTATAGCTTTGTGGCCCAGGCAGATAAGTAGGCAGTCAGTAACTGTTTAATTACGAAGTGATAGAATGGAAGGGGGACCTTCCCGATAGACCAGTTCCAAGCTCTTTCCCCATGCTGACCGGTTCCTCATAAGTCTCCGGCGTTTCTTATTTTTAAGTTTACTTATACGCATCGTCCTAAAGAACTGAGCGAGGAGTGGTGCACCTGCGGGGACTACCACTCCCGAGGCTGCGGCAGCCAGCGAGGGCGTCCTACGCTCTTGGGCCCGCCCCTTCCCGCCTTCGCCCCGCCCCTCCCTCACGTGGCTCTCGCTAAGTCCCTGAGCCCGCGCCGCCACCGCCGGCTGGTCACTGCGCAAGTGCGGCCGGAGAGCGTGGGGCGTCTTGAGGCTACGGGCTGCGGACCCTTAGGAGCGCGGGGGTTTGCGGCCTGCGTTCAGCAGGCTCCGCCGCGCACTTTCAGAGGCAGCAAGGCGTGAAGAGTAGATTTTCCCTGCGCCCTGGGCTGTGTGGCCATGGAAAATCAGGTGCTGACACCGCACGTCTACTGGGCTCAGCGACACCGCGAGCTGTATCTACGCGTGGAGCTGAGTGACGTGCAGGTAAAGGACGGGTCCGGGCGGCGGGACGAGCGCAGGGCCGGGGGCTCCCAGGACTCACCAGGACCCACCCGGATCCCCTGGTCCTTTGTCCGGGTGCGCCCAGGAGAACCTGCCGTGCGCCGACGGGATCTGGGACGGGGTGCATTCACGGTCCAGCGTCGGGTAGGAGCTAGTCCTTGTCGAGGAGAATCTGCAGGCCCTGGCCACGACCTCTGAGAAACGCAGGTACCTTCGGGTGCTGCGTGAGTTTCGCGGGGGCCTCCGAGTCTGCCCTGGGCCTCTTCTTTGTTCGTAGTCTTCGGCCTGATGGAGCCCGAGCCCGGCCCTGGAAGCTTGGCGGTCAGAGTTTGGGTTTGCTGAGGCCGTTGCGGGCGTGGGATGAACTCGTGGGGTGAAGGGTGCAGTGTGACAGCGGCTTGCTGGGCCGTGGTTAGAAGTCTAGAGCTGGCCTGGGAGGTCTGGCCAGTTCTTTCGGACCTCACGAGGCCTGCCGCTGCCTCAGAGGGGCCACACCCACCCCCAACCGTTCAGTGATGGAAATCATTCTTGTTAATTTTCAAGTCCAGAAAACCTCGAAGAAATGGTTTTGACCCCTTGTTCCGAAGTTTGTGAGCTCAGGGTTGCTGAGTTGCATAGAGAACTTAAAAATTATTTTAAGTTACATTGAACATTAATGTTTGATCTCCTTGGCTCCCTCTATGAACAAGCTGAGGCCTCCTCAATGGTAGAGATCTCTGGACCTGAGTACCCTCATATTTCTGTCCAGACCGTCCACGATTCCAGTCGTTGAGGAACTGGAGTTTTCAGTCTGGAATGTTCTTTCTACAGTCATCCTTACTCTCTACTCTCCTAGACATCCCTGGTACTTTGCAACCTCCTTTATTCCACTTAAACTCTCTTTGAATTTATGTTTGGATCTGTCGTCCTGTCTGGCATAGTGTCTTGCAAAATGTATCGTCTTGCAAAGGGTGTGGACTTGAATTTTTGAATTTAACCTTTACATCTGGAATATAAGCCTGTTTTCCCATTGAAAGATAAAAGACAATACTGGCCAGAATTCCTTTAAGCGGGCTGTGACATTGCACAGGCCCAGCATTTAATATGTTAAATCAGGCCGAATTAAACTTTTGCCTCAGAGATTGAGTGAATGTTTTGTGTTGTCTGTCTCTTCTCTGCTTCAGGGTATGTTAATAAAAAACAGAGAAAACAAAGATTTTGTAGACAGGGACCAAAACCTACATTTAGAGAGGGCTTCTTCCAGTAATCCATAAGAAAAGTCCGGTGTGTTTTGACAGTCTCTCTCTTTGTGTCTAGCATTATGTAGACTAGTGATTTTCAACCCGTGTGCCACAAGACTTTTTAAAACATGTGATATCTGACTAGTCAGGGGCACTGACCTCTTTTCCCTTAGATTGTCAAAAAACAAAGAAAAACAATAGCCAACACAACAAACAATAGCTGTCCAGTGTGAATGAATCAAAATTATAGCTATTTTTTCTCAGAACGGCAAAAAATAGAATATATATTTTGGTGTGTTACAGGATTTTAGTAGTTAGTTTATGTGAGCCATGAGATGAAAATCGCTAATGTATACCAATTAAATAAACTCAGTCTCTGCCCTCTCTAGAAGTCTGTCATGTAATAAGGATGCAATATTCTGAGGTACTTCTGAAGCTACAAACCAAAAAGTTGTTTTTGGGGGGGCACACAAGTGGTGGTGGTGGAAAGAAGTGGAAGTTAGTTGGGCAAATGAAAGAATACATTATATTTCTATTTTTTTCTAAAAGATTTAAACTTTAGTTAAGGAACATGAGCACATGTCAGTCCCATTTGGTATATTTATTTATTTTTATCTTTATTTTGTTAAAAGATTTTATTTATTTATTTTTAGACAGAGGGGAAGGGAGGGAGAGAGGGAGAAAAATATTGTGTGGTTGCCTCTTGCATGTCCCCTCCCTGCTGGGGACCTGGCCAACAACCCAGGCATGTGTCCTGACTGGGAATCGAACTGGATGCCCTCTAGTTTGCAGGCCAGTGCTCAGTCCACCGAGCCATACCCACCAGGGCCTATTTAGTATATTTAAAAATAAAAAGTTATATGTTTAAACTGTAGTTAAAGTAAAGAAATACAAAGGTGGAGGAAAAAGTGGAATTTTCTTTTGGAGAGAGAAATCTGTTTTTTAACTTTTGGGGAAAAAAATAAATCTTTTTTCTCCAGTTGAGTCCCCCCCCCCCGCCCCCTGCCCCGCTGATATTTCCTATGTGTAATTCTAAGGCATCCATTTCAGCTACCATTATTTTAAAAGCAACCTGTTCATACCATTCAAAAAAATCTTCTACCACATGTGAGATAATGCAGATGCAAAGAGATGAATTAGACAGATTTGGCTTTCTAAGGGCATCCTACCTAGAAGGAAGCACAGTATATACAATCAAAAAATTTTGTACATGGGTATGTTTATTGATAAAATTGGAGTTGAATGTTCAACCAGGTCCCTGGTGCTAAAGGAATTTGTTACTTCTCTTTTGCTTAGTTAGAGATTACTTTCAGAAATAAGATGAAGCATTCTTGTCAAACTGAGATTGGGAGAAGTTTCCAGGCAGAGAAAGGCATAGACTTAGATTATCTAATTTGTACCGAGTGAATGCCCTCCAGCCTAAGACTGCCAGGAACACACTAAAACAAATTGGGGTTATTACTCTTTTCAGCAAGGAAAGGCATACCTCATGGAGAAATATGAGGTGTTTTAAAAGGGTATTAGAACTGTTATAAGATGTGGACTTTGGTGATTCAAGGATGGTCTAAGGAAGCAGGATTTGCTTTATATGCTGTTATAAAATGGGGGCAATTCTGTGGTTGATCATCTGAATAAATCTTATCTATGGGGAAGACAGACTAGCACAAGAATAAAACTGTTCATAGTTCGTAGGAAAGTAGAGAGGAAGAGTATCTGGTATCTTATGGATGACAGTGGTCATATTTTTGTCTGTGCTTACACAGAATTATGAAATGGCTTGTGTCTCTTATCAAGGTTTCAGAATAACCTTGTCGGAGGTTGATACTCTCTGAGATTGTGTATGTCTGGGAGAATAACATGCCTTAGCTGTGAGTGCCAAGCCAGCTTTTGAATGCCAGGGCTGCCTTTTATTTTATTGTTTTTTAAAAATTTCTTAATTCGTTGGTCTATGCAGGACCTGTGAAACCGGTAATTCTGGCTCAGGATGAAGCAATTCATGTATTTGTTTAGTGAAAACCATTTGTGGTATGCCTGCTCTTATCTCCCATTAAGCTAGGTACTGGGTTTTTGGACAGCTTTCTCTTGCTCTCTGCTCTATCTAGTTAAGTCCCATAGCTTATGTATGAGTTTTAGTATTGAATTCCAGTTTAGGGACATCAGCCCTGCTTCTCTCCCCTTTTGAGACAGAACCCTTTTCTTTCTTTCTCTCTCTTTCTTTCTTCCTTCCTTCTTTCCTTTCTTCCTTTCTCTGTTTCTCCCTTTTAAAGAGACGGGTAAATTTGTTTGAAAATACAGCTTACAAAAACTCACATCCCTATTCTATTTTGTCTTTGGAGACTTAGTGGCTGATGAGAAACCACTACTGATGTGAGGAGAAATGGTGCACAATAAAGATTTCAGCAGCAGCATTGTCTGTATTTGAGGCGAGCAGTAGCAAAGAGGCTAGCTGGAATCTGGGGGGCTAGGGTAAGGTTACTTTCAGGACAGAGTTTAGTTTCGGGATAAACATAATGGACAGATTTGTGTCAGCAACCATAGTCGCTAAAGCATTTGTTCACTTATCCAGGCTTTTGTTTTGGTTGTGTGTGGACAAAGTATGTAGCTCTGGGACTGTTCTTGTCCTTACCCAGGAGAGTCTGGTGAGAAGAGTGGTAACTGAAGTTAGGAGATTGGGTCCTTGCTCTTCTACTTACTATCTGGTGGCCATGGATAATTCACTTAACCTTTTTGTATGTTGGCCTCTTAATCCAAATAAATGTGAATAGTAACACCTTATTAACAGGACTGTTTTGAGGTTTGAATTGGATATTGGATTTGAAAGTCCTTTGTGAATTCTAGTGTGCTATTCAAGTGTAAGGGATTATTATTGTGATAGTAAACCTTAAATGCGAGAAATACAAAGAGCAATAGAAGAGAATAGAGTCTATTAGAAGATGTGTCCATAGATTAAAACTTACTGCACAACAGTGTGGCTTTACAAATTAATATGGGAAAGGATGAACCATTCAGGAAATTGTATTGGGACAATTGATAATCCAAATGGCAAAAAGATAAAAGAAGATTACCTGCGTATAAAACAGTCAATCCCAGGTAGGTTAATAACCTAAATGCATAAAGCAAAACTATTAAAAGAAAATATAGGAGACTGTATGGTATTGGAACAGGGGAGAATGCATTCATCAAGACACAGAAGACAAAAACCTTAAAGAAAAGATTGACAAATTTAAGACAAGCTTGAAGCAGGTATTGGGGAACATGTCTCTAACAAATAACTGGTATCTTGACTATATAGAGACCTACCTACAGGTCAGTAAGAAAAAAGATATATTACCCAGTAGAAAAAAGGGTAGATAATGAAAGCAGCTTAGAGTAAAAGGAAACAGGAATGGCTAATAAACCTGAAAAGATGCTTGACCTCACTTATAATCTGGGACATTTAATTAAAATGATAGGACACTATTTCTCACATTAGATTGTGAAAAGTGAAAAGTCTAACATTACCAGCTGTTGGCAAGGATGTTCAACAATGGGACATTTTTATGCAGTTGGTGGTGGGAGTATTCATTGCTAAAATTGGTTTGGAGGAGTTTGACATGGTGTAGTTAAGCTCAAGGTGTGCATATCCTGCCCTTGCTGGTGTGGCTCAGTGGATTGAGCGTTGGCCTACGAACCAAAGGGTCACCAGTTTGATTCCCAGCCAGAGCACATGCCTGGGTTGCGGGCCAGGTCTCCAGGAGCACACAAGAGGCAACCACACGTTTC